AACATGAATGTTTTCGGAAGCTTCCTACAGTCAATAATCTCATAACGCTTTGGTCAATGAAAGGGTTAAGGGAATGTGGAATTATTCTATGAGTGTCGATGGTCTTCGTGAATGAACAGCCGTTAACTGCTGAAGCTCAAAAGAGGTCAATGGTCAAAACTGAAAGTACAGTCAATATTTCCACTCTTACGCTATGATACGAAGCTCACTTTCGTGAATCTGTCGGTGTTGCTGCTATTGACGGACAACACGAGGTTCAGGGAAACATGCAAAAGTCACAGTTATTCTAGGAGATATTAAGAGGCCAAATATCTCGCAAAAATAATCTGAATGCGTCAGTTTAATGCATTTGATTCCCCCGCTTAAACAATGATATAAAAAGGGAATATCTTTTAAATTAATCAGGGTTGGCAACCTCGTCATAATGTCTGACGAAGCTCCTAGAAATAAGTGACCAAAAGGAAAGAATAAGGTAGTGGTGCATACCGTTATTTTGCTTCGAAGCATCATCTCAGTGGATAAAATACTTTCGATCAACAACCAACTCCGACGGCACTACCCACTGTATGCGTTGTTTTCCTACTTGAAGTCGATGATTAGATAAAGACATTTCATTCCGAGAAGATTGATATTTTCGGAGTATTGTTGATTCGCCTGCACGGTTATTTGGAAGCATGTGATAAGAGCTGCTTAGGTCGATGGTCACCACTACTGGGAAGAAATGTGTGCTTGCTTAGGCTTACGACCACGCATCAAAGTGTCAGCAGGGATACTGTGTGATGTGCAGTCGGCAGTTGGCACCAAAATATATTATTTTCCACACAGAAATGATTCCACGGCAATCCTTCACTTTTCTGTTTTACGATAAAGCGTCGGCCACCAGTTTTTCTCTTTTCGAAAATGGTAACAGATTACATGAGGCATTCGTTGCTTGAAGCCGCTCAGGCAACAGATAGTGATGACAAGAAACTTTCAGTCTGATAGGCTAATATTAATTAAGTTTACGTTGCCTGACCGCAAAGCTTCTCATCCACAGTAAGACTGAGAATTCAGTGGATTATTCATGTTACTTGCCCCTAAATTGAAAGCTGTCTCGATGAAGCTGAGGTGGAGTTGCTCTCCATGCTTTTCATCTGCACAGGTGCAGTTTGGACAGACTCTATATGTGTATCTGATGCCTGTGTACTGAGTTTCACTTACCGATGGAGCTACAGCTTGCACAAATGAAGACTTCAAAGATAGCATTGGGAAGACAGCAAGGCAGGACTTCATTAATCTGAAATCAGTATGCACATTTACCTCCTCAGCATATAACGTGAACAACATCCAGATTTTCAACACGAATTTAGTCAAGTCAGTGCTTCTGTGTGATGGTTGAGAGACTTGATGCGTTGCGAAAAGCATTTCCAGCACATTGCAGACATTCATCAACGGCTGCCTACCCTCGATACTGAAGACCAGATAGTGAGGAGGAATAAGCAACAAGGAATTCTAGCTGACAACGAAGCAACCAAGAGCCTGTCGCCCAATAGATATGCAGAGGAAGGTGGGGGTGGATTGCACTGGACTGGACGTACTCTGAGAGGACCGTTTGTAGGCGTCACGCACCAGGCCGTCGAATGGAAGCCGAATGGAAAACGACGAGTTGGTCGTCCGAGAGTGACATGAAGGAGATTATGTGAAGAAGACATGAAAGCTTTTGAGCAGTCGTGCTGTCGGGTTGAGAGGATTGCGGAGGTCAGAGCGAAATGGTAAAGTTCAGTTTAGGCCGTATGTTCCACTAGGGCCGCAAAGGACGAGTAATAATAAAATAATACTGACTGTATGCAAGCATGTCTAAACCACGGTTCTTACTCCCTGGGGTTAATAAATATCCCTTAATTAAACATTGCGAAAGATCTGGGGTCTACCGTAAGCGGCACAATCGGGGCTAATGTCCGTAATCCTTTTGAAGGCAACGAGGTATGTGGATCACTCTGAGTTCTCTAACGGACTGTAGAGTGTCCAACTTCTGCCCCTTCCACCAATGTTTATAAACCGTATATTTACCCTCACCTCGATAAAAACCATCTAATTGCATTTCAGTTGAGCCATTAGGTTTTTCGTCCACTGAAGAAGTTTTGCCCACTTGATTACCTTTCGGACATAATTTATTGTTCATAGTCACACCAAGATATCACATTGACAATAAGTCAAGTAGAGTGAAACTACGTTTCGCTTCATTGCTGAAGTTTTACCACTGCATTATTGAAAGACCCTCTGGTTATTTCCCAGCACTTGAAGAAGAATACCGTTATTCTAGAACGGTTTCAGAGGAGAGTCTCCAAGAAATTGATTGGGCTACGGTACAAACCTTATCTGGAACGCTTGGTTGATCTTGAGCTGCATCCGGTGCAATACAGGAGAATCAGAAGAGACTCGGTCAAAGTGTATCATATCACCCATAACCTTCCTTATCGTAAGGGATTCCTACCAAGCTTTAGTCATAAACCCCACCCTAGAGTAGAGCAGAATAAAATATAAGGGAAAACATACTGTAATCCCTAGTAAATCGTTTGCAGTTAGGTTTAGTAAGCAGTAGAACTACTTTCCCGAAGAAGTTGCAGCCGCTTCTCTTGATGCTGTCAGAAAGGGCTGGATTCACACTTAGAATGTTGTATTACATGAACTGTGCTCAAGAAACCACCCGGCGTCTTTCAGACCATTGGCAGCAGCACCATCTATAACGGGCTGACAAATTTCACTTTTCAGATGTGGGGATAGTAGGCCAGTTGGCTTGTGTTAATCCTTGCAGAGGGTATCTCTGTGTAGATCTAGTTTCTCCTTGAACGCGTTGACAGAAGGTGTTGGTACTACTTGCTGTGGCAAGGAGTTCCAGTTGTTGACAACTTAATGGGAGAAACGCAGATTCACGCTGAGTTGATTCGATCGTGCTATTTGAATTTTCTTGTGATGCCCTAGGAGACAGCCAGTCCTAGCAGGAGTGAAAAAATAGGAAGTATCAGCACCGAAGTCATTATTGAGGTTATGAGATGCCGGTATGAGATCACCCCGTCTTCTACGGCAAAACAGCAGGACTAAGTTTAGCTGATCTAGTCGTTCATCATAGGACAGATTCGAAAGGCCTGCCATGAGCTTTCTACTCACACTCTTAACAAGCTCGAGTGCGTCAGCATCCTTCTTTGGGCATGGGCTGGCCGCCTGAATGCAGTATTCGAAGTGAGGTCTAAAGTAGATGGGGCAGAGCATTTTAAACATGTCCTCATCAAAATATTTGAAAGCTCTGTGGAAGGAACATAACATACGGGAGCCCTTTGTTGCAGCTGCACCACAGCTTGCCGAGGCTTTCAGATCATGACTAATGATGACACCCAGGTCTTTTAGTTCAAAGACTTGTAGTGGTGGTGTGCTATCAACGGAATGCTGGGAACAATTGCTATGACCAGTGTGCATTACTCCACTTTTGTTAGAACTGATTTCCAGGCACCAACGTCTGGACCAACGCACTAGTTCATCTAAATCCGCCTGAGGTGCATACCTATCTGCCTCACTGCGCATGGCTCTCCAAATCTTAACATTATCGGCGAATAACAGTACCGAAGAGTTGAGCATATTTGGCAATTCGTTGATATATAACAAGAAAAGTAGTGGAACTAGGATTGTTCCTTGAGGAACTCCACGCATCATGGGTTTCCACCCGGATAGTTTCTCATTTGCCCTTACTCTTTGCCTTCCATCGTATAAAAAGTCCCTAATCCGAGCTTGCAATGGAGCATCAAACCCGAAGGAGGAGAGCTTTCCCGGTGATTTCACGTGCGACACTTTGTGGAATGCCTTATTGAAGTCCATAAACACGGTATCTATTGGCAACTTGCAAACACGGGCTGCAACCCATACCTCTCTTGCGATAAGAAGGTTAGTTAGACAGGGGTGTCCAGTACGAAAACCGTTTCGCTGTGGTGCCAAAAGACTTGTTGGTCCCACACGTTCAAGTACCTTATCGCGAACTATTTTTTCTAAAATCCAAACAACTATGCTAGTTAGGCTCAGGGCGGCAGTTAGACGCCAGATGGCGACTACTGGTCTTAAAAACTGGGCTGATTATGACATCTTTCCAGTCTCTAGGGAGGTGAGTCTGAGTTACGGACATAATGAAAAGATCCATGAATGGATCAGCAATGATGTCCGCCAGCGAAGATAGCAGTCTGAGAAGTTACTCATCGGGACCTGGGGATTTTCCAGGTTTATGATTAACCAGCAACTGTAAGGCTCTTTCCTTTGGTGTGAACACAGTATCTATCAGTGGAACAGTGCTGATACCACCATATGGCACTTCATCGTCATGATCTACAGAGTGGACTTCACTAAAGTAACCAGATAGACATTCAGCTTTGGATAGATTAGGTTCCATCAGACTATCGGACTTCTCGTCCGTCGCCAGAGAGGGAATTCCACCTTTTCTTTTAGTCCTCCTTCTGATGAGTCTTTAAAGACAATTTTGGCGATCCTTCACAAGCTGCTTCTCATAGGACATTCGAGACCGTGTAGTCAAAGCCTTGCAGAGATTGCGAACTTTACAGTACTCGGTCTTGAATTTTTCCAGTCTTGATCCTAGAAACAAGTCCCATAAACGTTTCCTCCGCCTTAATAACTTCTCAGTGTCTTCGTTAGACCATGGAGGGCGATGTGGGGATCGTCGTGGAGTCGTACATGGCACAAATGGTGGCTTTACCTCTTCAAATAGAGTTCTAAACCTATTTCATACATTCTCAACTGATGAGTCCCTGTCAACAGTCCAATCCTTACTGACTGCGCAATTAAATAATTATCTCTGTCCCCTCAGGTTCTCTGCACCTAGCAGAAGAAGTAACCTTAAGAAATATCGCTCTCTTTTTCAACAGGACGAAGTCTGAAGTTCGAAAGCACAAATATCAAATATTGAACATTCTGAATTCAAGAGCAAACTGTAAGCTAGTTAGTTTGAACGTGATAAGCTAGTGATGGCGTCATCTCTGAATATTGTGAAAGCTGACTCTGTTCTTCGCCTCAGTAAGTTATGATGCACGAAGTAATATTAAGACATAACTAAGGCACCGTATTGAGACGTTGGAAACCGGCATGGTTGGTACTATATGGAAACGGCGAGCTGAGGTACTATGAAAGCAAGGATGATTATGCACCGAAAGCAACAATTAATGTTCCGCGTGTTTGTCGGGAAATTCTTAGTGGCCATGTAAGTAATTAACGCTTGCCTCTTAATCCTAAGATTTTATTTCCCCATACATTTTCCCACTTATTATACATCGTCATCAGTCCTAGTCGGCATATCCTGTACAGATCCAAAAGGGGAAAATAAGGTGTATGTAGGGGAAACAAAGTGAAAATGGTGGGGAAATGCAACTGTTTCCCTCTTTTTACGCCTTTCCCCTTGGATTATCTTTTCCTCCTTGAAGTCTCCCTCCTCGATCAATCTCCATGTCTACCTTTCCCCTCGAAGTCGTTTTTTTCTCTTCTTGTCTGCTTTCCCCCCTCCTATTCAGTTTTTGAAAACTCAATTTCCCCATTCCTGTCTACTTTTCCTCTTTTTAAACTCCCCCGTCACTACCAGACCGAGTTTAAGGCGAGATGACTTCAGCATTTCCCCGGGTTAAATTGAAGAGCCGTCGGGGAAATTTTAATGAAAAAGTTTGGCACAACGAAGGGTCCCGCAACATTCTGGTCCAACCTGCTGCGTGCTTCGTGTCACTTTCTTTAGTTTATACCAGCGTTAGCTTTACCTGTTTTCTTATGTTCTATGTTTCCCAAGGCCTGTTTGTCACTGAACCCCCTTTTATATCAACAAATTTTGCATGAAAGCTGCAGTACTAAAATGCACTGAAACCAATAATTATATCTTACCTAAGGTTTCTTTGGAGAATTTGGTGTGACTAGCATGAGTCTAACTTGGAAGAAAAAAACTGCATCTTCATTGCCTCTAAAACTACTTTGGTACTTAACATCCATCCCTTAGGTACACTGAAATGTACAACCAAATGGTTATTTCAGCGTGATAAAGAAGTAAATGATTATTGTTGATACCCATATTAATGACGATTTTTGACTTCCTTAACATGTAACTTCCCAATACTTTGCTGATTGCAAGTTTTCAAAATTCTCCGGTCGGATATTTTGATGCCTAGGTTTCTACCCGTTTTCATGTTTGCTCCTGTTTAAGTGATTTCAAACCATGTGGGAGTTTCATTTGTCTAGGAGACTGATCAGGGCTAGATAAAACATTGTCCAACTTCAGGGACCACGGATATTGGTGAATAAAACGAATGAAGAAGCCTTTTTGTGAACTAAAATAGCAACTGGAGTTAAAAACAAGCCAGAATGCGATATTTTTTCGCTCTCCTGTCTATATGATCCGTTTGATTAGTTTTATCGAAAAGAGGTAAATCCGTTGACACGGTTGTGAACCTTCATCGACTGAGATGGTTGGGACACGTGTTACGTATGCCTAGTCACCGTCTGCCTCGTCACACAATGTTGGTCGTAGTAGGCTCAAGCTGGAAAAAGGCTCAAGGCGGCCAGATTAAAACATGGCACAATGCATGAAGTCTGACTGTTGGTTTGGGCCATGTGGAGCGATGCAGACTAGCCGGTTGGGGTCTGAGGGACAAGAGAAACCAGAGGTTGGAGACTAGGTGATATGGCTCAGAACCGATGTGAGTTGTGAAGATGTATACACACATTATCCTCATCTTAACCGCTGTGCTTAATCTCATTATTTTTTCCTTCCTCCTTCCTTTATTTTAGTACTTTATATTTCTTTTGACTGGACTTTCTTCTCTTCATCTTTCACTTAAATGTCTTCTTACTTGATGTGCTGGTATGAGCTGTGGTAACCTGGACCGTTACACAGTAATGCCTGATCCTATGTTGATTTGGATGGATGAAAGGAGTTTGATGAATGTAAATTACATTCGTTTGCCAATTTACTGTACTCAGTACTCATACATACACATTAAGATCTGGTTGACAGCTGGGTCTTGTATCTCCGGAGATCTTTGTTTCGAGTCCTGCCGCTACCCAGATTTTCGTCTCATTTTCAGTGACCACCAAGTATCAAGTATATTTTTGCCAACATGAGAACAAACCAAGTTCCATGTGATAGTTTACCGCTCATTATCAATTATGCGAAATCTTTTACACACTTCTTATTACCTGAAGTCAAAGGGATCGTGTAACGGCTTATGGAGAGTTGTTGTGTGAATGGACGACAGCTAGGAGTTCCGCCAGAGATGCCCACTATCACCCTTCTTATTCAACTTCATCATGGACGTACTAATGGATATAACCTCAGGTACGTCTGACTTCAAAGGGATTGACGTACTCCCTGGAGGTCATCTGACTGACTTGGAGCAATCACACAATATTGTCTTGCTAGATGAAGATGCTGACAAAATACATAGTCTCCTAAACGTGCTGAGGAGGCATGCGTTTCTCTGGCACCTTTCAAATGTAGGAGAATGCTTTACGACTAGTCTACTGCAAGTACTCCTAGCAATATAACAGGCAGTGAAGTAGCGGAATGTGTTGACCACTTGGCTTTGGAATTTGCATCAGCCCGAACGAGTTGGTTGCTGACGAAATCTCAGATTGGATACAGAAGGCTCATTTGGCATTTGCTAACTTGCCTCACCTGCCACACCGACAAACTAGATATTCGACTATCTATCTATCTATCTATCTATCAAAAGACGAGCACACTGCCTCCCAGTCTCTTCTCTCCTACTGTACGCCTGTGAGATTACCATTAAAAGTAGAAGACATGAAGCGATTACAGGGTTCTCATCGCAGATGTTTTCGTATCGCTGCTCGCGCGTTTGCTGGGATCACCGTGTGAGCAATGCTGAAGTCAGGCGAATGGTACTAAGCAAGATAGGCAAGTCGAATGATAACGTTGTGAACCTTTATAGAGTGAGATAGCTTGGACATGTGCTGCGCATCTCGGGCCACCACCTATTTCAACCTCGACAAGAAATGCTAGGAGAAGTTGGATTACGGTTAGAAGAGAGTCCAGTGTGACCACACCAACATCTGATACCAGTCAGTGAAGTTCCTTACTGTTAGTCTGAGTCATGTGTGACGATGTAGACCGCCACCCTGGGGTCGTCAAGACGAAAACAGTCAGTGGATGAGGACTCTTGGTGACATGGCTGGAAATCGGTCACGGTGGCGCAGATGTATTCACTATTTGACATCATCTAAACCTTGAATATTCACGCTAGCCTTTATCCTCAGATTGTTTATTGTCTCACACTACTTTATCTACTTTGACATCAGTCTTTTGCTATCCACCCGTTCTTAGTATACTACTGTGAAGCGTGCAACTTAGGCGGATGCATTTTATCAGCGCCTTCATCCAGCAGGACAACATCATGTGATTACTCCAAGTCAGTCAGATGACCTCCAGGGAGTACATCAATCCCTTTGAAGTCAGACGTACCTGAGGTTATATCCATTAGTACGTCCATGATGAAGTTGAATAAGAAGGGTGATAGTGGGCATCTCTGGCGGAACTCCTAGCTGTCGTCCATTCACACAACAACTCTCCATAAGCCGTTACACAACTGCGTGAGTTCGAGTAGAGAGCTTTGATAAGCCCTGAATACTTGCTTGATACTTTCTTCATTGTCAGGCAATGGCATAGCACCTCACGGTCGACAGAGTTGAATGTCACCTTCAAGTCAAGAAATATGGCAAGTGCCTGCCATTTGCCGGTAGGTATGCCTGTCCTAGAAACTGTCATATGATGGATGTAGCCTCGTCTAGGTCTGAAACCTGTCTGGTATTTTCGAGTTTGCTATTCTTGAGTTTCAGTTAGCCGTTGGATAACTTTGCATATTGGGATGTTGAATGGTATTATCATCATCATCATTATCAACATAGGACCAGGCATTACTGCCTCACGGTCCGAGTTGCCACACCTCATATCAGCACATCAAGTGAAAAGGTAGTGAGATGAAGGATGAAGATAAGTGAATGCAGTCAAAAGAAATATAAAGTACGAGAAGAAAGAAAAGAGGAGTGACAAAATGGTGAGATTCGGTATAGCGTTGTTAAGTTGAGGATAATGTGTGTATACATCTGCGCCACTCACATCGGTTCTGAGCCATATCACCTAGGGTCTCCAATCACTGGTTCCTCTTATCCCGTAGACCCCAACCACCTAGTCTGCATCGTCCTACATGGCTTAAACCAACAGTCAGAGACTTCATACATTGGTGCCATGTTTTAGTCTGGCCACCTCGGGCCTTTTTCCAGCCTGGACCCACCTCAGCCAACATTGTGTGACGAGGCAATCGGTGACTGGGCGTACGTAGTACGTGTCCCAACCATCTCAGTCGATGAAGGTTCACAATCTCGTCGACTGACTTACCTTTTCTCCCCAAAACTCTACACCTAACTTCTGCATTACTCACATGGTGACACCACGGAATACGTCCTATACTACGAAGGCAGGCAACTGTGGTCAAACACCTGAAGCCTTTTTATATCTTCCACTTTCAATGGCCATGTTTCACAGCCATACAGTAGAACAGAGCGTACTGCTGTGCAGTACACGCGACCCTTAATAGACAAACGAATATCACGGCGGCGCCATAGATGGCGCAAATTGGCAAAAGCCAATCGAGCCTTTTGTATCCGTGCAGAAATCTCATCGGCAACTAACCCGCCGGGGTTGATCCTACTTCCCAGGTAAGTGAAGTGGTCAACACACTCAACCACTTCACTCTCTATTGTTAGCCACGGTGGAGCACCGCTGAAGACCAGTCCTGGAGCAAAAATTTGCATTAGGGTGGTGAAAATCGCATCCCAAACATTCTGAAATTCCCACTCAGTGTTCAGAAGACTCTGCATCTTGTCAGTCAGCGTCTTCACCTAACAGGACAATGTCATTTGCATATTCTAGATCTAAAGAAAATTCACCTGTGATTGGGTCAACGTCTGTGTAATTAGGTGACGAGAGGGAAACCTCCATAAGAATATCTATGATAAAATTGAATAAGAATGGGGATAGTGGGCATCCTTGACGTACACCACTTGATGAGTATAGCTCCCTGAATGGTATTATAAGGTATTATTACTGTAGGTATTATAAGGTATGGTATTATGAGGAAACTTGTCGTCTTGTAGTTGTCACGTGGAATGATGAATGATGTAGATTGATTTGTCGAGACTACCTCGTATTCCCGTGCATTAATGTGTATCTTTGTAACTCAGTAATTTTCATTCTTTGTTTTTTTGAAATGCTGCCTGCAGATTTGCATCTTTCAAGGCTTAAGATAATCTCCTAACTACATGGAGGGTTAGAGGGCCAACATCATTGTCCTATCCTGGTTCGGGGTGGATGCTGGTCAACTAAAGTGTTGCTTCAAGCGAGTTATTCTTTAAATCGTTCCGCTCATTGTTCAGCGAAAGAAGAGATGGGTAGGATAAGAAAAAAATGTCGTATGACGATTAAGATGGTCATACTGTGAGAATGCATCTGCACCACTGGGATCAATTTTGAATCGTATCAGCTAAAGGTTTCAAACACTGATGTTTGTTTCAGTATGAACCCTGGCCGGAACGTTAACATCTTCCCATAAGACTCATCAACAGTTGGAGACTTCATGTACTCATGCCACAGTAGCTTGAACGCGCTTCGACTAACATCGCGTGACTGATTGGACGGCAATTAAGTCTGATATGTTAGCAGACGTATGATTGGGTTGGAAAAATGTTCAGTATGGCCAAATAAAAATGCGCCACCAGTTTATGAAGTCTTTGACTGTTGGTCTAAGCCGTCTAGGGAAGTGTACACTGTCAGGTTAGAGTCCTCGAGATGATATTAGCCAATGGTTAGAGACTTTTGGTGCCATCGCTGAAAATAAGTCACAGTGGTGGAGATATATGCTATGTTCTTCAAAGTCTCGGACGTTTTACTGACCTTCATTCATTTATTCTCTCGTCACACAAATTCGTGTACCCTTATATCACTTTTCCTTTCTACTTCATTGCACGCTACTGTGAAGTGTTGCAACTTGAGTTATTTCACTATGCGACCTCCTGAACTGGTTTGTTTCTTTCTGGTTAGACTTGCTGAACACTTGTCCTAAGCACCTAGATCGATGAAGGTTCCCAACCGTATCAACTAGCCTACCTTTCTTCCTTGGATCTTTATACCCAACTGGTACGACAGTAGCGTAATAATTCGTAACTACTCTCGTAATGTCCGACACTTACAAAGCCATTTATCATCTTAAACCAAGACACAAGAAGGAGGAAGTATTTTGGTGTACGTTATTTTGTTTTGGGAAATTCCGTGCCGAAATTCGGCATTGTAATGTTACCTTAGAACATTTGATAGTTAATGGATTTATGCGAAATATCTGTGTGATGACTTTACATTCTGTTAAACTCAGGCATAAATTGACATTCAGTTTTTCAATACCATTGAAATAACTCTCCAAAACATTTTTATAGAAATAGGGACCACTGATGCGCAGTAAAAAACTGAAAATTACTTAAAACGCAGAATTACTTTATGTTAAGCTAAGGTCTGAGTGTGTAAATGCATCTGGTTGTTTATGTACCAAGAGTGAATGTGATTGAACCATTATATTCACTACCGCTCATTAGCTGTGTTTTTCACTAATGCATGTACTGGCTATTTCTTGATCTTATTTTTCACCTTGAGTTTTTGAACATTGTATTTCTTATTATTGAAAGTTGGTGAGAATGTTGATCAGGTAGCCGGGAAATATAGAATAAGAAATAAAGTCGAATGGAAAAACGAGAAGAAAATAAAATATGGTTTCAAATGTTACGAAACTTCGTGTTTTACTATAAGTTGTCTTTTGAAGTATATCTCCGTGACCCATTTGGTTGGCAAAAATCTCTGTTGAGTATGGATTTCGTCAATGGAGTGTGTAAGGTGGTCCGTCAGTTCTCCACCCTGACTTATAAGACTTTTCTCTCAAAAAATGTCTCAGCCTGCGTAAGCAAGAGCAGGTATAGCTAGTAGATGAGATTCGTAAACATTTCAATAGATTTAGAATATATTCTTTTCAGTGATGAGAAGTAAATACAAGTCTTGTTCCTCAATATTCTTCAAATTATTCCGAAGTTAAACACCGATTTATGTGAGATGCTACAATACTTGTAAGATTGTTTTATTCGTAGCCAGTTAACCAATTACCACGTGTTCAAATACGTAACGGTGAATTAGTGGCATGTGACCTTGGTCTATCGCTAGCCATTCTTATTTACGATGACTTTTTGGGACTTGCACATTGCCACGCATTTTTTGTACGTGCACTTTATTCTTGTATGGAGGCGTGCACAGACTTTTTGTGTTCGCTAGTGTAAAGAGCAAAGTATTACGATAGACCTCGCACATCAACTAGCATCAATATAGAAATAAAAACACTATGTACACCAATTATATTTCGTTACATCTTCGACATCCTCATTTTTGGGATTTTTTTGACCAAAATGTAATTGAGTATCTATTGAAATGTTTGGACAAATGCTAGCAAAAGTTACTTCGAATTTTTGTATAGTTTACTTAGTCGTTACCAGTGAAATCCAGGATGTGCATTTCGCCAACTGGATGTATCTTCACCACAGCGAGTGATGGTGTTCACACTGAGGCGAACCCAGTACTCATCGCTCTAAACACCACTGAAGCACGAGAGCCATATGTTGTGTAACGGGCACTATTTATTGTTTATTGATAGTTTTACGTTATACCTCTGCCAACAGAGGTCGAGCAGTTCAACGCAAGATCGCAACGAGAAATTACAAATATCAATAAATTTCTTCGAATTTACATAAGAATAATTTCCGCTTACCAATTTATAAGTCCAGTTATTTATAGCTGGCAATAATTTATCGGAAAATGAATATTTTCCTTTTGCCTTCAGAACTGCATTTCTTAATTCTCATTACTTATGAAGATGTGAACTTAAAACGTAAAGTTTCAGTTTTCGTAATTTTGTGCTTGTAAGCAATTTTTGGGCAGTTAATTCTTTGGAACTGAGAGGAAACCTTTTTGGTCTCAGGTGCACGTTCATCAGGTATAGGTTGAACAGAGACTCGTGCTAAGGTTCTATGCTTATTCAACCTTGACTTTAATTTCCGGTCAGTGAGTCACACTTCTGAACTCAACTCCATTTAGCGAGGTTTCGGCCATCAGATATTATAATAGCGCAAATGCAGCGGGTACAGCTCATTCTCTAGTATGCAAGCATAAGGTTTTTGGTTGGACTATTGTTTGCTCTCTGGGAAATGTTATTTGTTCCAAGCGGATACAATACGCATGCTTAACTGACAGGTAACTTCGCCCGTAAGATTTACCGACTCCAACTCCGGACGGATAGATAGGAAATTGAACTGGATGGGAAAATTTATTCCTCGGAGAATAATAACCAGCCAACCCAAACACACGTGTATGCATACACATGAAATATGACCTTGTCCGGTAATTGAGATATTAACTTATCAGCGAATTACCATAAAATCGGGAGCAGAAATTGAACTACTGGCCATGCTGTAAAAGTTGGCTGTAAACAGCAATTTTTGAAAAATGCTTAGATTAGTAAATAATGTTTTATGCAAACCGGGGCCTTGCAACTGAAAACAACAAGCCTATCATACCAAATTTCTAGGGCAATCTTTACTATATCTGTATGTTCATTTCGAGTAATCTTAGGGGATTCACCGCGGGGACTTAGCGGGGTTTGTAAGTGTTATATTCCTACCATATATATCATTAATTTTAATATCGTTCGGGTACCTACGCTGGTTAATACACTGCCTTACTTTTGTGACAACAGTACTATTCGCTGTTTCAGGAACCCGATACATATTCAATGAGCAATGCTAACTCTTCGGTCAGTTTTTATTTATATTTTAACAGTGGCTCGCAGACTAAAAAATCAACTTATAATCCTACACAGTGAGGAGATAGAAAAAAATGCCATCAAAGTGGTAAAAACTGTCAGACAAGAAAGGATAAATAAATGATGGTTAACAAGATATTCCGAATCTCATCAGCTCGCTTATTGACCACCGTCTGGCCTAATTCTTATGTTAGAAAGTCTTGCAGTCAAGTGTTATTTTAAAGATTATTTTTACTGTCACACTCCGTAAGAGGGTCTCCAAATGTCTGAGCAAACCACCGGTGTCTAATTCACTTGAAGCAGGATCTGTTATAGACGAACGAATAGACGTAGGACTTAAACACATTTTCTTTCTCTGTGTAAAGCTGTAATACTTGTAATTCATTCAATCATTTTCTCAGCATCACTGAGTATAACTGATGTGACGTTCAAATTATTATCAAACCTTAGTTTAAAATGCTTTTAGACATAAGAGAGCAAATCAGATGAAAAAAAATACTATGAACTGGAAGAAGCAAGTGAAAGGAACTCATTCATTATTACTCACTTTATGACTGTAGCTATTTTACGGTTGGCTTTATCAATATAAATTAGTTTAAATTATTTTGCTTTTTCATTACACCACTTTTTCCCATCTTTTGCAACATATTTTTAACAATTGACACTTCCCAATTTCTATTTTCTAGCGGAATATTGAACCACCTAAGGATCGTTCTAATGATTGTATTTTTGGCGTGAGAACAAATGAATCTGATTGGTATTTTTGTGCCCAGTCATCCGATGATGCAGTCGTATGGCGACTTGCTTTATCTGAAGTAAAAGGAATGTCTGTTCCTCGTTATAGAGTTCACATGCCACCTCCAGATGCTCCACCACCAGGATATACAGACGGCGTAAATTATTATCAGTATGCTTGTCCCGCTGAAACCACAGTTCCTTTATATCAGGCTTCCGGGAGAATGCAAAGTGTACCAGTAGGTTAACTTTAATAGGAATTGTAATTATTTGCCTGCGATAAATCGTGTGTGGATGATTTGTGAGTGATCAACACTCCATTTTATGATATAACCATATAAAACTAAACATTTAGGCAGATGTGTTGTTCTTCCAGTAAATTCGTGGAATATGGAATAAAATGAACCAACTTGTACCAGTATATACAGAATTACTTAGATTCTCGGATATGATTAATTTGGGATGCGTAATCTAGATGAAGGATATAATACTTGACAACTGGTTCAGCCGACATAAGAAGAGGACAGTGTTAGACTGAAGCGAGTTTACTTCAATAGAAAGTATAAAGGTAACAACCGAGGAACACAATTTGTGGGTTTATATACAATGTCTGCGCCCTTGGGGCGAACAGACAAAGTAGCATATTCAAAGTGGGTGATTAACCAATAGGAAAACCGTTTTTAAGAGCAGCAAAATTGATTGATACACATGCGGCGGATGAGGTGGGAAAAAAGTAATTCAAAATTCTTATCGGATAGATTTATACAATTTAAGAATAACACTTTCATTTTTCGAGGTGTAACATCCCAAACCAGAAGAAAGTAGGTTTTCGCAGCGTAGAAATTACAATGGCTGGTTAGGCTTAAGAATTGGGAAGTTTAAGAATTTGGAAGTGAATAAGGATGGGAAATGGGAAAGTTGCTTTCGAATGCATGATTACGGTTTTGCTTTTTGTATTCCAAGGGCCTCAGTAACACTCTTCGTAAGATGACTTACTTTGTAGACTACTCCAAACGAATCTTCTGCGACCGTGTTTGCTGTCAACCAAATTTTGTAATATGGAGCTGTTGACTGATCCATATTGACCTTTACTGAGCGATTTTGGAAGGTACTGGTGTTGACGTTGAACAATCTATTTCTGCGTACAGCTTATGTACCTAGTCCCACAGGCAAAGGTTAGGTGATGTATCTAAAGTGAAGTGGCTAGCAGTGGGAATTTATCGTTTGCTTAAGCGTTAACTACTGAGCGACTAGTATAGATGATTTGCAAGGTGGAGCATGAAATGTTTCTTTGACAGCTTTTATTAGTCTGTGTTTTCTTACTGCTTCTTCATTGAATTCCAACTTCGAAATTATCTTTCACTTGTCTACACTGATTTCTGATGCAGACTTCTATCTATTATTCTCTCCGGGTATCCATTTTTATGAACGTCGGTCTTGGAAGTATACGTGAGTTTGCGTACATACGATTGGGATAGACGGATTCTCAGAAATGGTAAAGGTATTTATAATGTTTAATACAGTTTTCAAAAAAATAAATCTCATTCTTCACTGAAGCAAGCTTCACGGAATAACAGGAAACCATCCATTTCATTGACTGTCAAAATTACTTGCTGTTTTTCGAAGGTCTAAATAAAGACTTTACTGAAGAAGCTTCAGCAAAATCACATAGAAATGAAAAAGTCTCCTCTCGTTTCCTAACCTTGTTCACTTTTTAGTTGTTAAAATTTCCAATTCTTAAACCTTTTTAGTTTCTACACTGTTATTACTGGTTTCTCTTTCTCTTCCTCATCGATAGCTGCTTACTTATTTTATTTCGAATTCTTGATTTCAACTCATATCCACCTATTCACGTTGTCGAATATTTTCATATTTGTTAGTTGGATAAGGGCAATCGACAGGAAGCTCTCGGCCTAGATTTGGTGCTTTTTAGCACTCGTCAACATAGATACGACTGACGTCCCGTCCGAAATTCGAACCGACAACACTCAGTGTTGCAGTCAGACACGTTACCGTTTAGCTATTCAGAAACAAAATTCGTCCGAAATGGCAGAAATTTTGACTAGTGACTAGCATTCAGTTCGTATGTTGAATCTCTAGCGTACTGTGGAGTCAAGGTTAGAATCTTTAGTAAGCATAGATAAAAGTTTAAGAAAAAACTCCTAGGAACTATTATGTTGGGTGACAAGATTAGATTGTTAAGACAGAGGCTAGAACTTGAAATGCGAAGTATCATATCGTCCTCTTTGCCTGAATGTGCAGAGGTAAGTTGTAACCTTATCTTCTATTACTGTCCTCAGGTCGCTGGGTAAAAACACTCCTTAAGTTTGCCAGAGCATTGGTGTCTGTATTTCTGATTAAGGAGTAAACAGAAATAGAGAGGTTATCCTTTTTCGTGTTCACTTAGCATCTCGTGCCTCCTAGTCACTTTTCATGAAACAAAACTTATTTTTCAACTCTTTTTTAATGATTTCCCTAGATTGTTTACCGTGGTACAGATGGCGAATATGTAATGCCTAGACAAGTTATTGAGCATCCTGATGGATCACGTACAATTATCCTTGGTGATGGGAATGAAATCCCCTGTCATTGTCGACATGGTTATTATTGTGGATGTGGTTATGGTTTTGGCGATGCTGCTCTGTTGGGTTTAGCGGCCGGAACACTAATGTGGTCCCCTTTCCTATGGTCTCCATTTTTCTGGTGTTAACATCTCTGTACTGATAATTATCTCTCACTCATGGTTTTTCAAACAGAAGGTATTTCAAGAATATAATGGTTTCTGAGGTTTCCGAAATTTAAAAGCATTCGTATGTGTGTTGATTCATTTACTGGGATTACTAAAATCTTTTCCAGGCGTTTATTTTCATCATTCACAGATATTCAGGTGTCTTTTTATCATGATTTATATTTATATTTACTTGTTTGTTTTCTTTCATTTTGTTACTTATTCTCTACTTCATCGACACAGAGTATTTTGAGCATCAGTAATCTTTGTATTATGAACTAAAATAGTTCTTATTTATTTTCCTGATGTTATGAGTTTTGATTTATTGATTGTTATTGATAAAATTTGCAGATCTTACTTCATGATCTGAATATTGGTTCACTAAGGTGGAGGGAAGGCGTCAGTTTTCATCGAATCTACTTTACTCTAAACTTTTTAATGGTGTTTGTTTCCTCTTGCAGTTGATCATTCTTCATGTGAAAGGCGTGGAGGGGGTGGGGTGTTTCACTTACACAATGGTCTGTTCTAGTCTGGGTATCTAGGCAGCATCACAATCCTCAACCTCAAAAAATATCATGCAACAAAATCTTAAAAGCACTTGTCAAATTTTAATGTGAGCAGTCAAACCCATTGTATGATAAGTTTTATGCTGTATTATTCAGCTTATAGTAAGTACATTGTTGTTACGTTAACGTCTGAACTATATCGTTTTTCCGATGATCGTTTCAAATTCACTCTTGTTTCATAAAGTGTATTTCCTGTGCACTTCCCGGAGTTACCTATAGTATTGGGAATTGACTGCAAATTGTTAAAGCAGATGTTGCCGTAGTCGTCTGGATCTCGATTAAGGTTCATCAATGTGTTTCACGGCAGTAGTCAAAAGTTGTCTCAGCTTATCCGAGTCACTAACAAGAAACCTGGTGTCAATGGAATAGTGTGTGAAGTAGATGGTACACTTTAGACAACGTTTGTAGACGTTTGCGACGCTAGGAAGACCATTTTTATGAGCTGTTTGACTGGTCTTTTTTTCCCAGCAACATAAATGCTGCTAGTAGGAAAGCACCTATTATTATTATTATCTGTCCTTTGGGTTCGTAGTGGAACATAGGGCTTCAGTAGCACGTCGCCGTTTCACTCTGTTCTCCGCAGACTTCTTAACCTGGCTCCACAACTACCCACAAGCTTTCATTTCTTCCTCACATGATCTCCATGTCACCCTCACCTCGGACTCCCAACTCGTCGTTCCCTTTTTGCGTTCCACTGGGGGCTTGTCCTGGCCTGACGCGTGATATCCCCAAATGGTTTTCTCAGTGGGTGTCCAACCCATCTCCACTTTCATCTGGATATTCGTTGGGCGATGGGTTGTTGCTTCGTTGGTTCGTTGCCAGCCAGAGTGAGTTCCTTGTTGCTTATTCCTATTCTTATTATTCTGGCGATCTGATCTTCAGTGTCAGTATCGAGTGTGCGTAGGGGGGGGGGGAGAGGAGGGAGCTGTTGATGAATGTGTGTAGTTTGTTGGAAATGGTTTTCGTGACGCGCCGAGTCTCTGAACCATCACAAAGAAGCACTGACTTAACTGAGTTAGTGTTGAAACCTGGATGTTGTTCACGCTTTATGCTGAGTGCAGTGAGGTGCAATGCAATACAGTAGATCTCTACACTGATTTCAGGTTATTGAAGACCTGTCTTGCTGTCTGTCTGATTCTGGCTTTGTTACCTCATCTGTGCCTGTGCCGCCTGTAGTTGAAAAGATGCTGTCTAGGTAGGTAGGTGAAAGAGACAACTTCCTTCAGATTTCTCTCGTTGGTAGTGATTGCTGTTTGTTGTTGGTGTGGTATCTAGATGAGGAAAGCGTGTAGCATAATCTGATGTAGGTGGGAAGTTTGTGGGACTGACTAAGAAAAAATCTGGATAAAAGAGCATTCGATTTGCATGTGATCACAGGTTTCCTAAATAAATAGGTTGAATGATGCTTTTGACTGAATAGTTCATGGTAGAAAGTAGATTTTTTCTTCCTTGAAGTTCACACTTGTTAGATTCGATTACATGGTATTTCTATTAGTTCCAGTCAAAAGCACCATCCGAGCTACTTATTCATGAAACCTGCTATCACATACCAATCGAATGCTGTTTTATCCGGACGCTTTGTTAATGACAGTTCTACACATTTCCCACGTACGTTCGATTGCGTTATCTGCTTTCCTACTAGCAGTGGACTTATACTCGGTCAACCCCTATTCTTATTAGGAGAATTTTCCACATATCTATAATAAGCGTAGAATCCTTCCTGTTGCATTTATTTGGTGTCGATTCGATACACAAAGGTTTGGTTATCAATCTCACCCTCCACTCAACTGAGTTAGTTTTTAATACTGTTGTTCTGTCCAACCCTATTGTGTATGCAGTTGCATGGATAACTGTAGTTGAACTTTCGCTAAATTTCTTATCTTATTAAGACCGAAGAATCTTGATTTAGTTTTTTCGCTCTGTTATTCTAATTCATCCTAATCGGTTACTTTGGCCTATGAATTGAACCTCGTAAACATTGGTAAACTAATAATACAAGTCTACAAACTGATAGGCATTTTGGTATTAGTAATTGAAGCTATGTCGAGTTGTAGCCCACTGGTTTGGGGAGCTGACTTTCAACCAAGCGGTTCACGAGTTTAAACGTCGCTCCATCTTCCAAGTTTTTGGCAACCAGGTAGTATCATTAGCTGTCACACACTAGGTGTAGCTTATTACCTACCTTATTAGTTTGTACGTGGTAACTGCATGGATTTTGAGTTGGAGGTTTGGATGAATCAATATAGCTGTTTGAATTAAATAAAGTTTCATGTGTCCATCGAATTTCACCTTTGTTTTCTGCATGAATTTGCATCGAACAAAATTCTATGTATTTATCACAAACAGTTCGATAAATGACAGGATTGTTTTAATGATCAAAACAATTTTTAAACTAACTTGATCAATTTTATTTAGAATTGAGTATGGTCGTGCTTTTGTGGATTGATTTAAAAAACCATCTTATTGACTACTGGTAAAGCTTATTAAGTTTCTTTGTTTCACGTGAAAACTACTTTTCTAGTCAAAAAGAAATCTAATTAATTATTTCTTTAGTTATCAGGGTGAACTTTAGAGTCATTACTTTCTGTGCTTTCATGTGATAGATTTTTTTCTCACCTTCAACTTTTATGTACTTTTAGAGCAGTATGAAATGTTTAGGCTTTCGTGAGGGTAAATTAAAGTTTGATTTATGTAGTATGCATTTTGTCACGTGATGTAATCAGTTTCGTGTACTATTTACTTCAAGCTGGTTAGTATGAAGCGCTTTCAAAGCGAAAGTAAACGTATCAGATCTCTGATAGATTGTTTTACTGTACGGAATGTGACAGACGCTGCGAAATATGTGTTACATTGTGTTATATCGATAACTGTACAGTAGGGTAATAATGAAATTCGCTCAACCATTTGATAACATGAACAACCTTGGTGTTATGAAAATTGAGTCGATTCGGTGAAAGAAATTCCCTTTTTCAATAAGTTTCAAGAAGTTGCAGAATCATATGTGGGACAAAAGCTTATTGCGTAATTAGATTATCCGAGGTATTTCATACATTTCACTGCCTTGAACGACGTAAGAAGAAACAGATTTGCAAAATAAGGCGAAATCATTTTATTGTGTGAAATATACCCATCGGGATATGGAAGAAGAAACAGGTGTTTCAGCGAAGATTCTCTTTTCTGCAATTTCATTTTCAAAGCTGTACAATCGCAAATTTATACATTTTTCTAATATAAGTGAAGGAAACGAGAAGACAGAGACGAAGGGAGGAATGCTTATTATTGACATCTTGTACAACAGTCATCAAATATGGTACACCTTGCGCTAAGATAGTCATTTGCATAATGTGTTTCATTTCCTCTTCTACTTCTATCTCGATTTGCTCTTAATATGCCCACATTGTCTCTTGCATTTCTTTGGTCAGAATCTTTACCCGTTACTGATAATTCCCTATGATTTCTTCCGCCCTCTCAACATATACTACTTACATCTATTCTAATCAGCGACGTTCACTACATAAAGATATGATAGTTAAGAACCGCTTTTCAAGCGTGGCAGCACCAATAGTGTCAATAAATGAGTTGTCATTAAGGTAAAAAAACAATCCAGAAACTGATGCGTAGTGAGCGTTAATCAGAGCAAGTTTGAACAAGAAGTTTCGTAATTGGAAACTGAATTGTGCTCAGGTAAAACATAGCAGCAAGAATGAGTAGCAAATTATTTAAGAAGTGAGTAGTGTCAAAACAGAAAGATGAAAAGAAAAAGGGAGATGAGTAGAGGAGACTGAAAACTAAGACCATGAAAGAAGAAGTCGTTGAGCAATCTTTTGAGTACACAGTTTGGACTTCTCTATTTGGATGGCAAGAGCTCCGGTAATGCAGAGGCTAAGAAGATAGCCTTTGGGAGGTTTCTTTTCACTTTATTCATGAGATTCTTCTCTGAAATGCTTGTTCTTCCTTCAATTCATTTTATTTTGCCTACACTCATCAGTTGCAAAGAACCTGAAATTACGTGACAGTCGAGATAAATGATTAATTATGTATGATTAGATCGACGATATTAGGTCTAATGAAAGACTTACTGAACAATCGAGCAAATGCATAAAAGCTGACGAATAATCAGAAAACATCCAAAGTACATTTGATAGCATGAATCATGCACCACTATCGGCTGAAGCTCTCCATGAACTCATCCTAGCATTCGTTTTACAATGGAATATGAAAGTGGAAACATTCAATATAGAGATGATCTCGAAAACCATATATGTGAAATATACATGAATAGATCCCTACCTCAACTACAATAGAATTTAGAGATTTTTCAAGTTAGTATTCATCATGGACTGACATCAGTTGGAGGGACATTAGAAACCTCGGAGCACTGGACAACTGTTTCGTCCTGGTATGGGATTTTTCAGCAATTCGCACACACGACTCCTCCAGAGATTGGACCTGCGACCCCCAGGTTCCGTGGCCAATACGTTTCCAGTGGGCCGCCGGATCGGAATCCAATGATCATATTTCCAACTTCTGTCATTTCACGACATAGTGCGACCGCCACCCAGTGTCATTGTTGAGTATTTGTCCCACTGGTCACGACTTCTCATCGGAACTTCAGGAATCACCTCTCGAAGCTAGTCATCATTATCAACATAGGACCAGGCA